TATAGTTTAATTTGGATTTAATAACAAAGTAATTTATTTTTGGTTTAATAATATAATTTTTATAAAGATAATAATTAGACATTCTGTTAGAATTCAATAATTATCTAATTATATTTTAGATTTTCTATATTTAAAATGGTTGTTTATCCTGTATTTGATTATGTTTATCTGCAATTACTTACACGAATTTAAAAATGAAGCTTTAATAAGTTGTAATTACGTAAAATTACTTGTAATATTGAATTTTAAGTAATATGTATCAATAAACAGTATTTTATGCATAAAAAATGGTATTTACAAGTTTTTGTGAAATACTTTGTAATATAGTATAGATAGTAAAAAGTAAGAACTAAATAATAATAATAATACAAATAAACAAAACCAAGACCCTGCACCCTAAATGTGTGCCGCCCCCTCGGTTGATATGAATATCCAACTTGCAGCCCCGTAACCTGAAACTCCAATATGAATATCCGACGACTCTAAAACTATGGCGATAGATCTGAATGTTCGGCAACTCAAAAACTCCGGCGACTAGATCTGCAACTCCGTTCTTGTACCTCCATCCTCCCCACACATCGTCTCTACAACTAAATCCAACCATTGTTCTCTATCCTATGTGTTTTTTCTTCCGATAGCAAATGTAATCTCCATGGCTCTAAGGCTTTTCTCAATAGAAAAATCTTTTTTTAAGGTATATAATATTATACACGACAAATAGAATAAATAAACTCACACACCCTCCTTACCTTTGGTGAGACTTTAACCTCTGACCATCTAAAGACTCACATACCGTTAGGCCAAAGACGTTTTGTTCAATGAAAAAATCTTCGTTGCATCATTTTCCTTGATTTCTATTAAGTTGTTTTCATCTTTATTGATAAACCTCTGATAAGTTATTTCGAGTTTCTTGTAGCTGGTTTTTATCTTCATGGACTTTCATCTTTGATATAGGGATAGAAAACACTAAAAAAAACGTATGACAGAAACCATGGTAAGCGCTTAATGGGTAAATTGTTGCATACAATGTCGTTTTGGTGGACTAAAGTCTTATAAGGTAAGTAAGCGGTAGTGTTATATTTTATTGGTAAACACTTACTGAGTAAATGTTTGATAAACGGTCTCTTAGTAAATGACTCGTTTCAAAACTTGCTAAATATTACCTTTTTTAAAATTAAATATAATTATAGTGAGGTCGACAATCGAAATTGGTGTAGCGGCTGGC